CCTTCAAATTACCACAATAAATAAATAACTATACTAGGGCCCTGTGAAAGGAGTCCAGAAAAATTTAAATGGAGAAAAAAAACAGAATCCAAAAAAATTTAAATTTGGAATAAAAAAAAAGGAATTTGGGAAAAAATAAAACGTATATTTTTTCCCAAATTCCTTTTTTTTTTTAATTCCAAATTTAAATTTTTTTGGATTCTGTTTTTTTTCCATTAAAATGTTTCTGGACTAAAAAGTTTAACAAAAATGACATGTTTAGGGTTTTATGAAATGTTCTATTTTTTTCACCTTGTTTATTGTTACCAAATTCTGTGTTTTAATATGTCTAATTATTTGAATGCATAAAAACTACTTTTATTTATAGCCTTACGAAATGTTTTTTTTCTTTAGAAATTCTGCTTTGTGTATTTGAATTTTTCTGGTTATCGAATGAAGGCATCGAATGAACACATTAATTTAATTTATCTTTTAATTAATGAAAATTAAACAAATTTTATTTTTTTGGCAAACAAAGGGGATTTACAATTAAAATTAAAACATGGAAGAAATATTGTGATTATTCCTTAATAATTTTAGTAGTAGTAGTTGTACGTACATTCTACTGAAAAATAGTAATACATTTCTGGCAGAAACTATATATTTTTGACTCTCAGAGCAGTTCTGGGGATGTTGTTCATGTATTTATGTCCTATTTAGTGAGAAGGCAGATGCTGAAATCACCGCGAGCGTCACACGCGGCTTCAGTATGTGTGTAGTAAACAAAATTGCATGACATTCATTCAGACCATAGACTATGATTCAGACAGACACAGAACATGCAGGATTTATATTTAAATAGCCTTTTTGCGGCTTAATATTTACAGATACTAGTCCATATCACGATTTAAGTGTAATGACCTTCCTTTGATTAATTTGATTAAAACTTTGACAAATTTCGTGACATTCCGCATTATACAGTAAATTCCGTTGACTGGATTCCGCAATTCCATCTGTGTTTTCCCCATCGCGGAAATTATAGGGCCATAGGCGTGCCTTGTGGGAAGGTCCAAACTCCACCTCTGAGTCGCTGTCATCAGAATCCTGAATGCTGTCAGATGTTAAGGGTCCTGAGGTGTGCACCAACCCATTTAGAGTGTCTGTAATGAGCCGATTTCATGGCTTTGTTTTGATGAGGTTGACTTCGGAAAAAACACGTTCTGAAATTTCGAAATTATCGTACATTATGGGTTTTATTCATTATTGATCGTACATCATACAAAGATCAAAATTATCGTACAAATACGATAATTATCGTACATCTGGCAACACTGATGGCACGGCTCGGTTTGCGTTTCCACTGCAGTTTAGTACCGCTTTAGAGTGGGCGGGATTATTCACATGTTGTTATAGTTGTGCCGCCTCTACTGCCGCGACTCCTGAAAAACTTTTTCATTCCGTGCTATCAACGAGAGGAACGATTGTACTTCCTCAACAGACTTTTTGGTTGTTAAAAAAGGTGCGCTCGTTCAAAACAGTTGCGTTCGATCCTTCGCTGGCTGTGCTGATTTAAATCTAACGGTTCTGTTGTGTCACAAGTTCAGTGACGATTCTCTCCGGCCAATCAGTGATCAGCAGTGTTTACACGTCACGTTTTGATAACGGTACGGTACCAAGCCGTACCGTGGCGTACCATGCAGTGGAAAAGCGCCATTAGATTAGTGGAATAGCACATAGGTATTGAGGACAAGAAGTTTTCTAACATTTTGATGCCCCAAATTTGATGATGACCTTGCAAGGAACCCCTTTCTAAAATACATAGTCGCCTGTGTGTTTATAGATACGTATTTAGAGTCTGTGAGAGAAATAGTGAGTGTGAATTTGTGCAGACAGCAGTTTTTTACTCTAAACTTTACTGTAGCACCCTTTGGACCCCTGTTTGATAATCCCTGGTCTAGATGGTTCATAAATGCTTTCTTTAATGTTCTCACTCTATATTTGATCCATTCAGGATGAGGAGAACAATCCACTGGAGACTGAGTTCGGTCTGTCCATCTATAAGGACCACCAGACCATCACAGTGCAGGAGATGCCGGAGAAAGCCCCTGCCGGTCAGCTGCCCCGCTCTGTGGACATCATCCTGGACAATGACTTGGTGGATGTTGTAAAGCCAGGGGACCGTACGCAGGTGATCGGCACCTACCGCTGCCTGCCTGGCAAGAAGGGCGGATTCACCTCGGGCACCTTCAGGTAAAGCTGTTTTGGAATATCATAAGTGTAAAATCAGTTTTATTGTAGAATTGTTATTTAAAATGTATAAATATTTATGATATTATTTGTTACAGCTTTGATAAGGTTTGTTCTCCATGTGTGTTTGTTCAGGACCATCATGATCGCCTGCCATGTCAAACAGATGAGCAAAGAAGTCTCTCACTACTTCTCTGCAGATGATGTGGCCAAGATCAAGAGCTTCTGCAGAACTCGCTCTAAGGTAAGAGGATGGAATGTGTCCAGGATTTGGACATGTAACCTTTGTGCACATGCCTATTGCATCACTAATTTGGACAAGTGTTTTGTAAAGTTATGTTCTCGTAATATGAACGCTTTATTTGTCTTTCTACTCCTGTAGAATTCGTTTGATCAGTTGGCTCGCTCCCTGGCCCCCAGCATTCATGGTCATGAGTATATAAAGAAGGCGATCCTGTGTATGCTTCTGGGAGGGGTGGAGAAGGTTTTGGAGAACGGCTCACGCATTAGAGGAGACATCAATGTGCTTCTCATAGGTATTTACTTGCTTAGATTTGCACAGGCAATGTTATAATATAATGAGAAACATTTAGGATAAAATGAATAGTTCATATTTACAAATTCTGTGCTGGACATCAGTTTTAGAACTCGGTTTGAGTTTTTGTTTTGTTGCTATTTTATGTAGATCTCTATCTAAATTACTTTATTAATTTTGATGTCATATAAACTTTATAAGTAAGCTTTAGGTTGTAATGACTTTGAGGATCTAAACCGTTTGATGCCCCAAATTTGATAATCACCTTGCAAGTACCCCTTCCTAAAATATAAAAGCTCTTTTCATACAAGTGGTAATAGTGATATAATAATGTAAAATTATTATTATTACTATTTAGTTAGCAATACTAGAAAAATAATAAATTATTACTAGAATTTTTAAAAAAATAGTTTAATTATTATTTTTAATAATAATAATAATTAAAACATTTTAAAATAGAATTATAACAGAATTTACATTTATTTTTTAGCAGCCCTCTTGATTTTAATTTTTTATTTTATTGTAATTTTTTTGGGAGCTTTTCCGTAGAGAGTGATTTATTATTATTTGAACATTTTAAATAGGGCAGTAAAATGACATAAGATAAAATAACTTTTCAGTGCTTTAATGACGTTTTTGGGTGCTGTTCTTTACAGACCCAGCAGATGGCACTGTTTATCCATTTACTGGGTTTTTAAAACGATAACTGATAAAGACTAGTGTAAATATCAGTTGGTTTGTAACTGTGGTCTGTGGTATGGATTTTAACAAAAATATATTAGTCTGATAAAGTATTATCGAGAGTATTATACTCTAATTGGTAGTTTCAAACATAATCAATTTACATAAAATGCTTAGTAAATGAACACGTGTTTAAATTCAGCATAAATCTCTCTATTTCTCAGGTGACCCTTCAGTGGCCAAGTCTCAGCTGCTCCGGTACGTTCTGCACACTGCTCCTCGTGCCATTCCCACCACAGGCCGAGGCTCATCGGGTGTAGGTCTGACCGCAGCCGTCACCACTGACCAAGAGACAGGTACTGCGTTTCACACGCTCCGTCAACACAAGAAACCAGAGGTTCATTAATAACAGCTTTGCGTATTTTGGTTATTCTCTTAATATTAAGTTGTGTCTGTCTCTCAGGCGAGCGACGTCTCGAGGCTGGTGCCATGGTTTTAGGGGATCGCGGTGTGGTCTGCATTGATGAGTTTGACAAAATGTCAGATATGGATCGCACTGCTATCCATGAGGTCATGGAACAGGGCCGCGTCACCATCGCCAAGGCTGGCATCCACGCTCGACTGAACGCCCGCTGCAGCGTCCTGGCAGCTGCCAACCCCGTATATGGCCGAGTAAGTGCTTAATTTGGTGTTCGTAAAATCTGAGAGTAAAATGGCTTGCATCATTTCATAATGCTATTCTTAATAAATATCCAGTTGAGTTCAGGCAATCATTAGCAATTTAAGAAAAACACTTGGTCAGGTCAAAGTGTCTGAATAATTTTTGGTCCCAAATTTTCATAAATTTTACTGGTAGTCCATTGTATGAAGAATTTTTGGGTATAATATGTCACAGTTTACTTTATTTTGCTATCCTTGCTTACATAAATGAACTACAGTGTCCTGCACCCACTAGTAAAAAGATATAAAAAATTATATCTGGTGTCTGAATGATTTTTGGTTTGACTGAATTTGATGCAAATAGAAACTAGTCATTACTAATCTTTTCCTTAAAGTTCACGTTCTATTCTTTGATATGTTTGTTTATATTGTAGCTCATTTGTCACACTTGTTTACTAGTTCAGTAATATGTTATTACATCTATGCTTGAGATTGTGTGTTTTTTTTTAAGATATAGATACCATATAGATATACATAGCATTTATAGATCTCTACTTATTAATTTGTTGTACTTATGTTGCACTTTAGTTCATTTCATATCTATTAAATGAGTATATCCGACCCTTATTCCCCATTCATCAGGTTTTGGAGAAGGAACGTAAACGCTCTAGAAACGGAGAGCAAGATGCAGCATCAGAGGAGGAGGAGGAAGATGAAGTACAAGACACACCTCAAACACAGAGAAAAAGGTCTAGTGTTATTCCATAATCATTGTTTATGAATTTTCCAAGACACTACTGTTAAGTTTGGAGACTGCTGATTTTTTTTTAATGCTCTTGAAACAAGTCACATGACTAGAAACACAGTAAAAACAGTAATATTCTGAGATCTTATTACAATTTTAAATATAAATTCTGTTTTTAAATATCTTTAAATGCAATTTTTTCCTGTGATGGAAAAGCGGAATTTTCTTAGTGAGTTTTCTCCTCTTTGTCCTGTAGGAGGCGCCATTCTGAGCGCAGAGCATCTCAGGGCAGCGAGCCATATGACCCTTATGACTTTAATACTGAGACTGATGTACCACAAAGTAAGCTAAACCAACAACAAACATTCTATATACAAGTTATATTGAATGGGTTAAATTTGTTCTTAATGATTTTTAAAGTAAATACAACATCATTATTGAAAAATTATGATTTTTTTACACATGTATTATAATAGAAACTATATTGATACAGTTGATTGATGCATCTAAATTAATTCTAAATCATTTTGAAAAAACATTGTTTCTCGAGAAAATTTAAGTAATTTGAATAAACATAAATAACTAATATTAATGTATTTTAATTGAATTAGAGGATCACTTTTCGTCATAATGCACATAAAATGCACATTCAGTTGATAATTTTTTTGTTCTCAGTTCAGTCCCCTGCTCCTGCGAGGCAGGATGAGGAGCTAATAGACGCTCCTGGTCAGAACGGTCACACAGAGTTGTCTGATGGCAGGTAAGCATTCAGGGTTCGTCTGCTGAGATTTTCGGTATCTCTACACAGCATTTTTAAAGGGTCGTCACATTCGTTTGAAGTACTGTTTCTGATTCAGTTCTAAACAGAAACTGCATCGCTTGCAGGATGGCTGATTGTTTCGGATGCTGCATGTCTGATGCACCGTGTGTGTTTTTGCTTTAGGTTGAAGGAGTTCAAAACCGCATTGCTGGAGGTGTTCCGCTCTTCTCATGCTCAGTCAGTTGGCATGATCACTCTGATGGAAGGCATCAACAAGAGCTGCCCATCACCCTTTAAAGAAACTGAGGTCCGTGCTGCCCTCAGTCGCATGCAGGACGACAACCAGGTTATGGTTGCCGACGACATCATCTTCCTTATATAAATGTGTTTTTTGGAGAATAAGAGAAATGAAAAAGTGTAGATCTATTTCAGAAGATTTGCAATATGTGTGCAATGTTTATTTCCATACTTTTGTACATGCAAACACATGCATGTATTTCTTAACATTTTCATTCACTCAAGACATTTTCATTAGATTTTTCTTACTGTAATTTTTTTTCACATGCTTGTTACATGCATACAAATGCATGAATTAAAAAACAACAATTCCGTTTGATTCTTGCCAAGACATTTTTAGTTGTTTGTTTTTCTCTCTATAACATTCGTTTGTTTATTAGCATTCTTAGACTTGGTTAATATTCTTCAAAAATTTGCCTTTTCTTATGGTTTTATATTTTTCTTAAGAACAGCTTGGACCAGTTTCTGCAATTATTTTATTTTATTCGTTTTACAACTTGTAAATACTGATTTATTGTTTAAAAAATGTTAAACAACAGAATGTAAAAAAACTCAAACAAAAAAAAACAACTGGTGTCAGAATAATGCTCAGTAATATACTTCAGAATACAGTTGTTCAGTTAGAGTTGTGGCCTAGTACTCCACACACATTGAGCTGTGGTGCTCAAGCAGGAGATAAAGGTTTCAATCTCCCCCCTCTCAATATTTTTTCTGTGTCCTGTCTATTCTGCCTCTGTCAATAAAAAGTGACCAAAAGATTTTCTCATTGACTTAATTGTATTTTTCTACACTATAGGTAATATACAAAAAGACTATGATCAAAATCTAGCTTTACATAAATCTCTGCTCTTTTGCATAACACCAAAAAGCCACATAACCTCAAACTAGTCATGCATTAGACATTCCCAGTCATTACAGTTACTGTTTGCCCTCGTTGCCCTTTCAGTCTAGTGTGGGTAGAGTCTGTCTGTATTAATATGACTGGATTGTCTCGTAGATGTAGAGCAAATGATGATTTAAATGCAAAGTACAGCTCCTCATTTATAAACTTTTCTGCTCGAGCTACTTCAAGATGCATCTTTTTACTGTCCCGCTTCCCAGGTTCTTTAAAACTAGTGGCTGTAACCTTTATGTTTGTGTGGGAGCTGTAGAAACCCTAGTAAGTGGGCTATACCTACAATCCTGTGATCATTTACTTTGTCGTTCCAAAGCCATATTTCTATTGTGGAAAACAAAAATATATGTTGGCGTGCTGCCTGAGGCTACTGTATGGAAGCCCGTTTACGCCACTGAATAAAAAATAAAAAGGGTAATTGCAACTTTTTTTTCTCATAATTGCGTGATATAAACTCACAATTGCGAGTTAAAAAGTCATAACTGTGAGATATAAACTCGCAATTGTGAGAGAAATAAAGTCAGAATTGCGAGATATAAACCCCCCCCCCCCTCAAAATTTAGAGGGGTCATATGATGCGATTTCAATTTTTCCTTTCTCTTTGGAGTGTTACAAGCTCTTGGGGCGGAAAGAGGATCTGTAAAGTTGCTAAGACTAAAGTCTCAAATCCAAATCCAAAGAGATATTCTTTATAAAAGTTAAGAGTCAATCAGCCTACCTAAAACGGCTCGTTCTAACACACCCCCACATGTCTACGTCACGATGTGGGAAGATTTGCATAACGCCGGCCAAATGTTCACGCAAAGAAAGAAGGCATAACTTTTATTCTCGCTGTAGTATTGTTGCTGCCGCCATGTCGAGACGCTGTGTGTTTCGTTGTGAAAGCGAAACTACTTTGTGTGGCCTTCCAAAAGAGGACGATATCCGCTTCGTCATGCCTGGAGCTGATCCTTGCTGGTCGCTGAGGGAATACATCAACTTCGCGCTATGGATCGCCAGATCGGTTTTCACCGTGGACTAAGCGGAGTCCAGCCCGGGGTCGTCACATGTGGTTGCCGCAAGCCCGCCGGCCGCGCCGTTCTCAAGCCCGCCCGGCGCCACTCACTCTTGCCCGGCCGTTCCTCACTCTAGGCCGCTGGCCTCCGCTCACTCTAGCCCACCGTGTGTTTCGTTGTGAAAGCGAAACTACTTTGTTTGGCCTTCCAAAAGAGAACATGACTAGAAATCAGTGGTTAAGTTGTATTTACAACACTGTTCCAGAACAGTTCAACCCAAATATTCAGATGTGTGCAGCACATTTTATGGAGGACTGTTTCCTGATCCTGGGAGAGTAGACTACAATGCCGGCTGTTCTGACTCACAGACTGCAAGTACGTTTTTCATTAACTCGCAATTGCGAGTTTATATCACGCAATTCTGACTTTATAACTCGGAGTTCTGACTTTATAACTCGCAATTACTCCATGGCCCATTATAAGATTTCTAACAGAGTCAGTCACTTTTTGATTTTTTATCTGTTGGTAGTTGATAGAATCAAAGATGCCATGTATCTCAATAAGATATCCAGGACCTCCAGCAGAACTATAGGCCCACAACATTAAAAATACAGCAGTATATTTCATTGTACACATGGGGTACTTTTTTATCCCTATGCGCACCAAACCCATCTTGAGTGTTTGTTGCTAAAAAGCAAATTTTTTAGTTACATC